CTGACTGCTATTCAATCTATAACAGTGAAAAAAGTTTTTTGTTTTTAAATACAAGCTATTGTGACACCAGATGTAATTGGTGGCACTGACTGGGGAAATGGGCACAGTATGCACTGTGAGCCTGACACAGAAGCTGGCAGCAGTGGCAGACAACTGACTGCTATTCAATCTATAACAGTAAAAAAAGTTTTTTGTTTTTAAATCCAAGCTATTGTGACACCAGATGTAATTGGTGGCACTGACTGGGGAAATGGGCACAGTATGCACTGTGAGCCTGACACAGAAGCTGGCAGCAGTGGCAGACAACTGACTGCTATTCAATCTATAACAGTGAAAAAAGTTTTTTGTTTTTAAATCCAAGCTATTGTGACACCAGATGTAATTGGTGGCACTGACTGGGGAAATGGGCACTGTGAGCCTGACACAGAAGCTGGCAGCAGTGGCAGACAACTAAGTGCATTTACATTACATAGAAAAAAAAAAAAAAAAAAAAGCATACCCTTATCCCTAACCTAGCTATGCTTTTCCCTATCTTATGAACAGCAGCTACACTTTCCCTCCTCTTACTAAGCATGCAGCTTGAGAATGAATCTAAAATGGATGCTGTCCAGTAGGTGGGAGGGTCTGCTAGGGAGGCTGTGCTGCTAATTGGCAGGAATGTGTCTGCTGACTGTGAGGTACAGGGTCAAAGTTTACTCAATGATGACGAATAGGGGGCGGGTCGAACCGCGCATATGTTCGCCCGCCGTGGCGAACGCGAACATGCTATGTTCGCCAGGAACCGTTCGCCGGCGAACCGTTCGGTACATCACTACCCAACAATAAGAAGAGGTAGACTCCAAACTTCTGTGGGTTTTTAAATTTAGACCACTCTGCAGATGCTTTTAGCCTACGGTTCTGGGTCTTTCCCAGATATAGGTTTATCTAGCTCTCGATAGGCAGTTCACTATTCCTCCAGTTAAAGCACAGCATACCTGAGCGATACCAGACAATACTAGTATGACAAGCATTCAGTTGCTCTTTCCATTCTAGCGGGGTCTTTTTCCCAGGGACTCTTCCAGCACAGTACTCAATAATCTATCCTGTGGCCCAGAGATTTATTAGTGCACTATCTATCTTAAGAGTCCATTTAGGGATCTGCAGTAGTATACTGGATGCTATCCCTTATCTGCCAATTAAGCCTAGAGCCTATTTTTTGGGGGTTATCTACTAAATATCTACTTCAGATTTTATATACTTTACACTATATAGGTTTATTCAAGCCGTTTTTTGTTTTCTACTTATGCCCTGAATCTATCAGGATACAACTGTGTGCTCAGTTACCTACCTTTAGGTGCTATCAGAGACTATCATAATAGGGGAGAGCAATTTCTTATGTTATCCACTGTCAGTTTTCCCGATCATGACTCTATTGCATCTTGGGTCTGCTGTGGACTTCCCAGATACTGACAAGCCATATACCTACTTGATCCTGCTGTACTTAGAGCCACACAGACAGATTTACATTACATTGAGCTTGACTAGTTATAAGCTCAATGTTGCCACTTGGCCAGTACGACTATTATTATTATTGCCATTTATATAGCGCCAACAGATTCCGTAGCGCTTAAACTAAACTAAACTAGGGTTACTTTATTGTATCTACCTATGTATACACTGTATATCTCCCCTTAGATACTGTTTCCACTTCATCAGTATCACTATCTGGCTATTTTGTAATTAGTACACTTTGTACACATCAGCTCCAGCAGTTGGTCCTATTTTTTTTTTTATGTCTTTTTTTTCTTTATTAAATTTTAATAAATTATATTAAAAAAAAAACACAACACATAACCGAGCAAGATGCCACAAAAAGGTATCCTAACCAGGGAACAACATACAATAACATACATCTTTAGAGTATCAGAAAAAAAATTCTAAAACAAAGAATATCAAATTACAATATTGTAAATTCAGTAATAGCAGAGAATAGGCATAACCACATCTAACCAGGAATACAGAGATGGGTTATAGCTTACAAGCAAAAAACACACAGAACTGGTCTCACTTAGGATAATAAAGAGGAGAGTCAAATTACCCATAAATGAATTAATTTAATATCATCTAGAGGGTCAGAGAGCCCATAAGAGTCTGCCCTGTTCTTGCTTTCAGCCTAATTTGGCAAAATTGTAACACATTTTTCCATAACTCAAGCCCTTTACCAGCCTCTAATCTCTTCAATAAATTTAGAATAAAACACACATAGTCCCTCATTAGAGAAATCGTTGATCAGGAGTAGGCCCTTTTCCATCTCAAGTTGGTATAATAGTTGTGCTTTAACTTGACCTTTATTTGGGATCTCTATATTTTTCCAGAATCTGGCAATTAAAATTTTAGTTGCCATTAAGCAATGAACAATCACCAATTCTAGATTACCATGTATTTCTAAGCCACAGAGATGAAGTAGCGCAAATTACGCTTTATACTCAAAGCGTATACCTCCAATTCGAAAGATAAGATCAAATGTAATGTAGCTACCTATGTATACACTGTATATCTCCCCTTAAATACTGTTTCCACTTCATCAGTATCACTATCTGGCTATTTTGTAATTAGTACACATTGTACACATCAGCTCCAGCAGTTGGTCCTATTTTTATACTTACTATCATCTTTTTTTTCATCATTATAATTTTTTCACTTTGTTTTGGTGTCTGGGATATTTAGATGTGTTTATCCAGTATTGGACAATAAAGTTTTTTTTTTATTTTCTATGCATATTTATATTTGGCACTATATGCCAATTACCTTTACTCAGTAATTTCCATTAGGGTAATAGGACTGGAATCGGGTGTGCCTCTAATATTTTTATATTTAGATGTGTTTATGTTCTTGAAGTATTGATGCATTTTTTTATAATTGTAGAGACTGGTTTTGAGTGTTTGTGCTACCTAATCATTCAGACCTGCTGTAGAATATTGCATATTCTATGTTTCTATTGATTATTTATGGATGTCTGGATTGACATAAGTAACAGATGGTATAAGTCACAAGGTTTTCTTGTATAAGAAGTCTGGAATGTGGGTTGGGGTCTTGTCCTTATATGGCTAGAGTTATACTCTGACGTCAGTATGGGCACATCTATATAGTAACTTAAAGGGACATGAGGTCTCTCTCTGTATCTCTCTCTCGATGTAACAATGTAACTCTCCCTTCAGAAATCCAGCAGTTACCATCTGCTGTTGAACATCCATGATCATGTAACATCCTTTGTTGTTTTATTATGTATCAGTAACTAAGAATAAACCGCAAGAAACCGTAAGTCAGATTGTGTATTATTACTTTTCATTAATATAGATGTATATTAATGTAGCGAACCTTTGGTCCAAGACTAAATATACAAAAGACATATATATATATAAATCAACTGGAAGCAATTAAGAAGAAGAAGCAGAAGATTTTACAGACAGAAAGTATACACACTAAAGACAAAAAAGCAGCATATGTAAAACTAAAAGTGTTCCCAGGTGTACCTCACAGACATCTAACAAATAATTGCAACAAAGAAAAGTGGTAAAAACACCTAGTATACGTATATTAAAAAAATCTAAACAACTTGGAAATATGGACCAGGATAGATGGATCAATAGCAGATCTATAATAATAACAAACAAAACATAGTGTAATACAGTAAAAAATAAAATTAGATATGTGGTGTTGGTAGAAAACTCACAAACATGTGATGAATCAGGCTTCTCACCCCACCAGGACTTCGAATCAGGAGGATGGTGAATTTCAGATGATGAAAATCCTTATATATGTAAAGGAAAAAGGCCGCACATAGTGAGGTAAAATTAAAAACCATAAAGAAATTTATTAGATTGCACTTATAGACAGGAAGAAAATCATGGGCATATCTCCACACAACGTGGAACTTGGCAGCAGAGTGGCAGGTCTTGGAATACCAACAGCAGCGGCAGAATAGTTGATATAAAAACAAAGGTAAAACAAAGTGATAACTAGAACTAAAAATCCATAAAAGCTCAAATATTGTAGTAATCCAACGTGTTTCATCCAATGGAGGACTTCCTAAGGGATCTGTGGTGATTCCTCATAATAGATGCTTCTGATAATGCTGAAGATCCTCGTGGATCCATTTCACCTGATGGCGTGCGTTCCAGTGTGGAACGCAAACACGTACATCCTATGCACCCAGGGAAAGGACAAATGACGTAGCCGTTCGTATGCATGCAGCATTTGAACGAGTACAGGGACGGCTATTAAAGTGTGTGTGCATGCTACTGAGAAAAACATGCGCACG